TTAGAAACCGAGTGGAAAATGAATTCATGTCTGATGGATTTCCAAGCAATTTCGATACGGCTGCTCTACGCTAATGTATTGACTCTTAAATTCAAGTAAAAGGTTTATTTAATTTATATTCTAAGAGAGTAGAGTTTAAAAATGTATTATATATTTTATTATAAATTTATATTAAAAAAATAAAAATTAATTTTTAATTTATTAATTATTTAATTAAATTTATTTCATATTAAAATTAATATTAATTTTTATTTTATATATATTTATAATAAAAAATAAAATTAATCCGTACTCTAATAACACAAATTAAAATATCCCTTCGATTAAATGAAAAGCTAGAGAAAACGCGTTGGAGGTTACCAATTGTTGTCCCTGACTTTGAGGTATCATATGTTGAGATGCTTAGCAGTTTAACTTAACCCTAGGTCTCCCTTCCGCTTTTCCTCTACTGCGAAATTCCTTTCACCTGGGGACCCTATCCTGTTACATCAGTGGGAACAACTTTTCAATTTTCTAATCCTTGGGTTTCTGAGAAAATGTGGGATGGGGAATCCAATGACCAGCACTTTTAGGCCCTAATAGAAAGTTAGAAACCGTGTCCAAGAACCAAGATGAATTAATGTTTGATTGAATTTCCAAGTTTAGTTTCAAGCAATTTCGCTGCGGGTGCCTTGTACCATTCACTTCTAAATTTCAGTAAGTAAAAAGCCAGAAAAAACGTGTTGGAGCTGCGTTCATACCTGATAAATTTCTTCACTATTGCAACAAATTTGATTAAAGAATACTCTTAGCAATTTACTGTTGACTCAAGTCAAGGTCTAGATCTTTCTGTATTTTAAAAGATTTGTATCCATTAGGATGAATCGGATCTTCTTTCTAATGAGCAATGACTACATTTTCACAAACCCAATAATTGTAGGATGGGAGAAAGGAAAGAAACGACCTGAGAATTAAATTTGAGGATCACAAGCCGCCATTATAGCGAAGCACTATTGGTTCTTGGAAAGAAAAGCTCGTATCCACCATCAAATCACCTAACGCTCGCTGCAATAGATTCTTATCTAAAGAAATCGTTCAGATTTCTATCGAATTTGAACGCAGATTAGGCACTTTGGGAACTAGGGTTTCGTTAGTTTGGTGGCATCGACCAATTTGGGGAGAAATTTTACCCGGGAAGAAGGTCAAGAATGGCAGGCCCGCTAAATTTTTTGCCAGGTCACTCACCATTTCCGCGGTTGATTGCTCAATGATTGCCACGTCAGCATCACAGTGACAAATAAAAGGACTAAATTGCTCAAGTTTTTAAAAGTTTCTGACGTAATTGACTTAAAAAAATTCTTGGAGGTAAATAAAAGTTGAGGGCACAAATATATACACGTATTGAGAAAATTGTTTATTAATTTTATTTATAAAAAATTTTTAAAAAAAAATTTAAAAAAATATCTAAAAATTACATTATTTTAATTACTTTTTATTAAAAAAATTAAGATTGCATTTGAGTTTATTTTTTTACAACATTTTTTTACACAATATCTTATAAAATATTAATTTATTATAATTAAATTAATTTAAAAGAAAAAAGGTGAGTGTGTAGGTGATGAGAGAATGAGTGCAGAGGGTATCCTTTCTCCAGTCATGGTTTGCCATCTATCCATCCCAAAATATTCTCCAAGCAAATCAGTTAATTGAGATATTCCCAAAGAATCCTGGGCTTGGGCCAAATTCTCATGGGCTTAGCTCACTTTTTTCGTATACGTTATACTTTTTGGTATAACAAGTTGCATCTGGTTTCGGTGCGTCATGATGAGCTATACGATCAAGAACTTTCGTTATTACAGTTTCAGCAGAAACACTTCTTCCATGTCTTTGTCCGTTCAGCACTTGTCAGGGATATGTGGTCTTGACACAGTTGCAAGCTATTGTTCCAATTTCAAATTACTGGTATCAAGCTGGAATGATTTGATGGCGGGTGAAATTTCTTCTTATTGTGAAAATTAAGCTTTGATTAGAACTTCAGTCTTGGTTTCAGATTGAAGACTTTTGCATCCATGGATGAAGATTGAAGAGGACGTGGAGTCTTCAATTCTTTTTACAATTGGCCAAATTTTCTTCCAAGTTAGCAAGTAATGAGAAATTGCCTATTGAGGGACCAAAGAGACTAACATATTGGTCTTTGCATACTTTCTTTGTGGGATCCATAGCCCAATCCTCAATGTCAAATTAATGACTGAAAAGAGGCAATGACTTGTTTATAACACGATGGATGATTTTTATACCGTATTGTTAACGCTTTCTTAAATATTAATTAAAGCTTGAGAAAATTCTTGATAGTTAGTTGTAGCTATTTACTTATTTTTGGTAACATTGCTCCTGAATGTATTGTAGGTCAACTAACATAACACTACAAGAAAATTGGAATTTTGTGACAATAGAATTGATTATAAAAAATCAAATTTTAGATACAAATTTAATTTATGATAAAAAAATAAGTTTTTAAGCAATTTTCCATCACAAAATATCTATTTTCTTGTAGTGTAAATATTTCAAATGAATCAATAGTTTTTGAAATAACTCTAGTGCAACATTTTATTCTCTATTAAGATATATATATATATATATATATACATTCTTTCTTTGTTTAGTTTGTGAAAAAGATTTTTGGGATCTCATAGGTTCATTAATTCATTAATGTGTATAAACTATATAAAAAGTAAAATATATGTATTACACTTATATGCAGGGTACTCCATTTATTAACTGTTAAGTGGAAAAATGCCACATCGAGTATAAAAATAAAAAGCTTGCGGGTTAAATATAAGGAATACCACTCCACATATTGTCAATTAGTTTTAGGTTGAATATAAGTCTTGTGTTGAGCTCACATGCACAATTTCACATTAACTAAAGCATGAACAAAGTTGTTTTTATTGACAATCCTTGGTTAAAACAAGGTAGCCGTTTGATTATCAAAATTAGACGTTAAGGATTTCATTTGAAGAAGAACCATGATATTTG